ACTCTTTGAGGAGTTTATGCAGAACCGAAAGTCAAATAAGTGAGTCAGGCTGTATAGTGAGCTCTCTTTTGTGGCTAAGAATGTTTGTACGCGTCAGGGGACGATGGAGGGTTTGTGATCCCGCCTATTGGTCGCCTCAACAAAACATATATGTTCTGTTAGTAACCTCTTTCTCTTTCAAACGGTCTTCATCGCGCATCCCTTGAGTTTTACCATTCAGGCCAATGAAGAGCTCGGGAGTTAAGGACAAGAAGCCCTTTCTTTGACTATAAAATTTACAGAAGGCGTAATTTGCCATCAAACAAGTACAAGACATAATTTTTTCGTGCATTGTTTCCATAAAATATATTTGAATATATAAAGGCATTCAAAATAAAGGATAAAAAGGCATACTACATAAGTAGCCAGTTTCTAGAATTTATACATGTTGCTAGTGGTCAGAACGAAGCTCGTTAAAAAGCCCGCATCCTATCATAACTGAACTGACTTCAGAATAGACTACACAAAAATCAGTGTCACAACTTGACTCAATGCCGATTAGCAAAATAGTATCACTATTTCGCATATGTCGAAATGTTGCGTGATCTTTGGCGTCTTCTGTATGTGTAAATTTGCAAAAATGACGCACATTCTGGTCCTATTTGGACAGGGATTGCTTATGTGGACTTAAAGGGATGTATTTGTCGCTTTCCCGCACACTGCTTGTCAAAACTGTCTTGTAGGGCTACAAAAATATATATTCTCCCCGCCCAACTGTCTAACGTATTTTACAGTCTAACATTTCATTCTGGTTAGTGAATAAATATGAGGATTTTATTGTGGTGGAAGTGATAAAAAAAGTATTAAAATAAATAAACTTATATTTGAGAGGAAGACGACTCGATCGCTGGGACAATACTTTTATTCGCCCGACGTTTCGATATTCGTTGCTGAGTCGTCATCAGAGACATCGTCAGAAAGAAATGTTTCGATGCACTGTATAGACTAAAATCCATCAACACAAACTCCTGGTGCTCATGATACTGATGCAAGTTGAGGGAAATTCAATCTTATATTGGCGGAATTTAACAAAACATGGGGAGGGTTGGATTACCGAACATGTAAAAATACGTTATTGTTATAACTCAAGGGCAAAAAAGGACCTCCAAAGTCAGTCCTGTCCGCTGGTTTTTAAAAAACCCCAATGACCCTTTTACGTATACCTCGTGGTATCACACTAAAGTGAGACACGAGCCGCATAACCGTAGCCCGAGGTCTGGAGATTGAGACTAGGTTGTTTGTGGCAGGCGTGGATGGCTGCCTGTATTGATCGGGTACGGCGTCTGTGCGTACCTCCGATTGTTTTGGTATTGCTTTGTCCCCGAAACACGGTAAGTGCCGACGTATCTTATAGGGCTACAAAAATATATATTCTCCCCGCCCAACTGTCTAACGTATTTTGCAGTCTAAATTTTAATTCTTGGTGAATGATTGTAGATGAATACTTAGTTGTGGTTGAATTAATCAAAAAATATTAAATTAAAGAAACTTATCTTTGTTTCAATGTACTAAATTGAATCAAATCCATCAACTTAAACTCCTGTTGCTCAGGCTACCGATGCCAATTGAGGGAAATTCAAACTTATGTTGGCAGAATTTACCGAAAAAAGGAATTTTGACCTTATGATGACGGAATTTAACGAAAAAAAGGGAAAGTTGGGTTACTGAACATATAAAAGTAAGTTATTGTTATAAGTCAAAAGGCAAAAAGGACCTCTAAGGACAGTCCTGCCCCCTGTAAGTGCAGTTACCTCGTCAGATTTCTATGCCAGAAGCAAAGTTACCGGCAGTACACTTCTGACCGCACCTCATAAGGTCGTGGTTTACGTCGTTGACTGTTTCAATTTTATGCAATGTGTCTGCCTATTCCTGGGGTTTTTTGAGTGTCTGTTTAGGTATCGTTAAGGGCTAAATTCGGGTTTCGGCAAAACTTTTCTGCTCGTAATTTAAATATAAATGCATAGTTCGTTTATAAACGTTTGGCGATAGCTAAGGGAAAGTAGTAGACAATTGCTCAAGGGCGATCACGACGGTATCTCTTATCTACGAGCACTAAAATGCTCCGAAACTATGTGAATCAACGAAGCTGCATTTAAACTGTCTTTAAATAGTTCTTATGGTGCTCGCTTCTCTCGTAACCAACAACGTCAGTCGTAAAAATAAGTGATTTAAATAGTCATGCAAATGACTATGTGTGTACATTTTTCAACCATCGTTTGGCAAGACAGCTTTTCGAGTTCTGGTATTCTCCGCAGTTTTGTAAATATTCAATTCCACTTAATTTATGAGCTTCAAGCCTACAAAAGTGCATGCCAAATGTGACCTGTCACGATGGGATTCGGCCTGATATCTAACCGTCTTGAAGGCTACAGGTCTGCACTCGCTTTGCCTGCAGTGATAAATGGTGACATACCGTTTTAAATATCACCATAAACGTCGCATTCTCGCACCTTAGAATTTTCTCCGTCCCCCTGTCCTTCCTGATCTCTAGTTGACCTTTCAACTCGTGTAAAAATGTCACAAATTAAATAAAAGGGAATTTTATCGATTTTAATATGGGACACCTAGCTGTCTGTGAAGCCTAAATTCGGCGTTCCCGCGTCCTTATGCACTGACTTTGCTAAGCATGATGCAATTTGCAAGAAAACTGGTACAAACTATGACGAATTCAGGCGCCAGGCTGTCATTGCTGTTGTCGCCCATATGATCCTCGATCTGCCACCTGCTCTTGACTATCTGACCTTCGAAGCATATGGATGTACTGACCGGATGTTGATTAAGAAACATGGGTTTGCTAAAACTTATATAAAATTCGTTGTTTATTCACTTACCCAGAAAAGTTGTAAGCCATACTGCAAAGACGTCGAGGCGATGGCTACCTGACGTTTCGGACTCAGACTCAAATGCATCAACAAATCCAGCATCAAATGCGGATAATCCCTATATAGGTAGTTGCCGCATTTGTAGGGTGCAGTCACGAGGCTACCACATGTTTATGTCAATTAGCGGCTCCTGCCTTCATTGAGGATGATTGTCCTCTGGTGTGATAACTTTCTGATGGCCGATATGCAGGTCCTTAAACCCTGAAACGTCATCATCCCTGTTGGATGTTGAAGTGATTATTTCTTGGTCATCTGACTCACCGACACTGGCGTTGTACACAAGATTCGTTTGCGTGCTCCACGGGGAAACTGACTCTCAGTACCGAATATGGCGTGGGTAGTTCATTACACTTATTTACAGACGGGGAGCAGTGAACCATGCCTCAGGCCGCTCACGGCTCATGCGTACCTGTTTCTGATATCATCGCTGCTGATGAGTTCGAGTATGATTACGAAGAATTAAGGAAGCACTTTCACCTCTTCTCAACTACATCCCGGGGTTCACATTTTTTGCTTGTATTGAGTATAAGCCTTCCCCTTAACACAGTTGCTGTTCCTTTATAATCTACATTCAGGCAGCGACCTGAAGTATTTTGGTGCGTCGACATGCAAAATAGTCAGAACAATTTCGCCTTATAATACGGCATTTATAAAAGCTTTTCTTCAACCAAAGAGTTAGTATTTAGGTCGCCAACTTTCTTGACCTTCATCTTGACCCTATAGCCGGTATTGTGTAGATACATTACTCTAAAAGTGAAGGGAAATGTACTTACATGACCGCATTTTTATACAATACCCTTTTTTAGCATACCCACTAGCCTCAGTCGAACGGTTTACTGCACGGCGGTTCGGTGGGGAGGTGCCAAAGAATGGGACTTTCTGCACAAGCTTCGAAGGGAGGTTTTGCATGAGGACGAAAAGTATCGAATTATCGAGGCTCTTGGCTGCACGCGTGACTTTGGAAGACTACGCCTGTAAGTCTTTAATCGTTTTCAGCTGACCAGATTTACCCGTGAGTTGTTTAATGAATTCTCCCCTTCCTGAGTCAGTCTTAGTCGAAGGATGGATGCAGCCTTTGACCTAGTACTGGCGTCCACCTTTCTATCTCTGCCCCACAAGTATGCTTTTCTCAGGATTCTGAGAATGAGAAGGAAATCAATCGGAAAGCAAGAGTGCACTCTAAGCACGTGACCCAAGTGATGAAATAATCTGCAAATATGTAGTGTAAAATTTCCAACAAGCAAACAAAACAAAACAAACAAAACAAGCAATTTTACGGCCCAATGGGAAAAGAAGACAGAGGATATCTCTAAAAGGGCAAGGGTAAAAATCTTAGTAGTATGGTAGATGACCAAGACAAGCAATGGATTCCGCAGAAGGCATTGTGCATGCTCTCATGTGGAAGCATTTGCTCCCCGGTAAAAATTTAAAACAGGCATAGACAACAGGATTTATTGAACTAAAAACATTTTGCGACGGCTTTTAAACTGTATTCCGTCAGATAACGGACAGAAGCGTATAGCAGATTGAATTTCACAGAACCTCAAGGTATAACAGCAAGCGTCATAGTTAAGTGTAAATAATGATCATCTGAAGGACAATATATATATAATCAGCCTATCGGAATAAAGGAGGAGAGGAAGTAACTGCCACGTGGTCTAGCGGCTTGCGTAAATCGGGTTTCTCCCGCCGTACGTAGGCCACTTCCATGTAGCGCAGGGTTAGATTTGTTCTTTTCCGAACAATAAAGCGGAAAGCTGTTTGGAGTTCGACAGAGTGACCGCTGTCTAGCATGTGTTTAGTAATCGAAGATCATGGTACTC